AAAGTAAAACTGGAGCAGCTTTGGGAATGGTTAGATGATTGTGATAAAAGATGCTTTTATATCTTTGTGTGTGTGTTTGTGTGGTGTAAAACTAGCTAGACTCTTTTATTTATACAATAGAAAATTACTTCAGGTACAGATGTCAAGTGAAGGGTTATGTGATTGCTGACCTTCTGGTGTCATGGCCAAACTGGAGCATAAACATTATTATTTAATTAGAAATGCACTGTTATTTTCCTGTTTTCCTGGTATTATTATTATTTTTATTTTTATTTTTTTTAATTAAAACCTACTTGGTTTTGTGGGGTTAACATTTCAGGGCAAAAGAACTGGGTATCCAGTTATTCTCCTTCATCCTTTATCCCAGAAATGTCCACATTTGACCTGCATCTCCCAGTTATTGGTTGAGAGCCTCGCTGTTGAATAAAAACCAAGAGAGGAAGGAGAGTAAGGATTGTGGAACCTAGCCCTGGGAAAAGAATCCTGAAAATATTCAGCATATAGGATTCAAATTCTTTAATAGCTTTAGATGAACCAAAACTAGATTTTGACACAGAATAGATTTACCAACTATTAACCTGTGTGATGCCTGGGATTCTTTAGGCTGCTCTATTTCTAGAGTTTATATAAAATCTGAGGAACAAGCCTTCAGGTGGCACATGTACAGCTGTCAGGGAGAGATGGCATGCCCGTGTCTGCAGGCACAGCACCCCCAAGCTCCCAGGAGATGCACACCAGCCACGCCAGGCTGGAAATCCCACCCCAGTCGCTTTGGTAAAAGTGACGCGCGGATGTAGCCATTGCCTCTGGGAGCATCTTGACGACAGATCCACACCAGACAAGCACGATTCACTTCTCATTTTGCAGGATTTGGGTAGGTTATCATGGTCACCACACCTGCCCCAACTGGTGCAGCAGCTGCTTCCCTGGATGAAGCCGTTTCTCCTGGTGTGATTTGTAGTGCATGAACCATGTCTCACTTCAATGATTTCTGTCCCAATGTCTTAGACACCATCCGCAGGTGCTCGCACTGTGCGTGATAAACTGGACCAAAAAGAGGGAAGGAAGACAAAGAGAAAAAATGATTAATGAGGAGCTCAGTGAATTGCAGCAATGATTTAGCATGCCCTCCTACCACAGCACGAGCCCACAGCCACTGTCGCAGTGCTGGCAGTGCTGTGCCACACCTTCTGGAGGTGACCCCAGAGACTCAGGAAAGCTGGGGCTTCTGCCACAAGCTTCCCAGAAACCAGCAACTCCATGGCTTGGCTTCCCATGGGGGCATCGTGATCTCTGTATTTCAGAAAGGTGTGGAGGGGTGAGGATATTCCTGGTAGTAAAGTTTTAATGCCACGTAGTGATTGCGTGCATCACTGACCCTGAGCAGTGCCTGGTGGGCAGTGCAGTCACCCGGACAGTCCCATCTGAATGTGGGCTCTGAGTACCTCTGATTTGATAAATGCTATTTCCAAAGGGGGAAGCATCTGTGCGTCCTTACGTGTACATCTCTGTATCTTTCAAGGTTGCATTTCACTTCATTTTATTTTTTCCTCTACTCCCTCCCCCCTTCCCAAACCACAGACCTCAAACCACAGAGAGAATCAGTTCAGATAGCTTAAAAAGCGGAGGAATGCTGACAGACCAGGACTGCCGGGGTCTCTCCTGTTACAGCTATTGATTCATCTCGGGTAAGAGAAGGGCTTTTTGTGCCGTACCTCTGCCAAAAAAAATTAAAGGCAGAAAGAAACCACTGACACACGGAGCGAAGATTTGGCCGGGTTCTACTTCAAAGGGCTTTTTTCATCTCATGTGGAAGGAAGGAATGTTTTGTACAGACCAAAACCTCCTCGTCCTCCCAACGAACATCCCTTCCACTTCCAAAAGGCTGGGATAAGGCAAGCCTGGGCTGCTGACTCCATGTGGAAGAGGAGGGTGCAGCAGGATGCTGCCTCTTTTCCTTCAGTACCTCTGCTGCATGTTCCTGTCGCTGGTTCAGAAGGAAAAGGGTGAGAGAAAAAAATCAAAAAACACCAAAGCTCTGTCTAAAGCATTTCAGAGCACTCATGCAGCATATTAGAGACTGAAAGGAGCTTTCTGGCTCCTATCTGGCTGCTGTTGCAGTCATTAATGTGGTTTTGTTCCATTATTAATGACACCAGCAAAAGAAATCAGACCTCTCAGACAAACTTGAGAGGTTCTCAAGGAGCAAAGAGGGAAGGAGAGCAATGGGGGACCCTTAAAATGGGGGAAATACCTGAGGGGAAGGGGGGAAATAAAATTAAAATGCTGGAACTAAGCATGGAGCAGTAAAAATCTCCAGGTGTCAATAGCACCGTATGGGTGGTGAAATGAACCTTTCACAATGCCTGTAAATCATTCCCAAAGCCTGCTACTTTAAGGGCACTTTATAATTAAACCAGGAGAAACTAATTCCTCACAGCCTGTGCCTTATTGTTTGATATGCCCGTGCTTCTAGAGCTGCTGTTTGGCAAACTGATTAAAATAAAACCAGAAGGGCAAGACTAATGGACGAAACCTCTGTAACCCGGAGCGGCGTATCATTACCTCCGTCTGAATGTGGTCGGACAGGATTTCGATAAAAAGCTTCGTTAGGAAAATGAGTCAAGAATACGGCAAGGTAAATAATCTCAGCATTAACGCCCCAACCTGGCTTTCTGGCAAAGTTTCTCTGGTTTAGCTGTCCCAGCAGCAGGAGAGGTCTGCTGGAGCCCCCCCTTTGGCATTTGGGGTGCTGAGAGGCAGCCACATGCTGGGGGTAATTGGGGTGCTGACCCCCTGGGGCTCACCAGAACTCAAGCACGGAGGTCAAATTAGGTTAGATTAGCTGCTAATGAACCACATGGCCATTATAGGTCCTCCTCGGAGTCAAGTGGTTTGCGCTGTGGGGCAGGAAGCTCTGGGTTCAAACACTGCTTAGGACATGGATGGTCTTTCTAAAGCCCTTAGAGCCCTAAAGTGATGCTTCTCATGCAAAGTAGTAAAATCCTCTGCTTTTTGGAAAGGCGAAGTAGGATTCAGCCTTTTGAGGGGCAAATGTATCCAAGCTGGCCCCTCTCACCAGCCACACTGGTAGGGCTCCTCAAACCATCCAGCCCACGAGGGTGGGAGAAATCAGACCAGGAGCAGCAAACTCCTCCGTGCCCAAGGTTTGTTGCAGAAGTTGATGGTGATGGTTTTTAAGGCAGCAGACCCTTTCTGTGTGAGCTGCAAAGCTGAGTAATGAGAAACTCTATAGAAATATGAGGCAGGAGCCACCAGACTGGGGTCCCCTCCTATCCCCATGTCCCCAACAGCAGCCCTATGCCTCTGAATTGGATTAAATACTTCCTTAATACTGAGCATTTTGTTATGTGTCGCAGTGTGTTTCTTGAGGCACAGGCTTGGGGTTTGTTTGTTTGTTTGTTTGTTTGCTCAATTTTGTTTGTTTAGTTGGTTGGTTTTGTTTTTAATCTACTAGTTTTATATTTTTCCCTTTAAAAAGGTGGAATCCAAAATCTCGTTGCTGTTAATTACTGATGCAGAAAACAGACACTCGCTTCTTGTCCCAGGACTGGATATTTGCCCTGTACTGCAAAGCCAAAACTCACAGTATCTGGGAAGAGCTTGAGACCTGGATTTCAATTTCATGACTACCAGCTGTCTTTCCAATGGAGCAGATTGAATCGATGCAACCAGCGGGATACATTTTAAATTACTCAAAGTGCAATTCATTTTATTCAAGCCTATGCCCCATATGTTGTGCTACCAAAACAGGTCACTGGGCCAAAAGCCCCAAAATAATTTTATGAAGGTTTAAATAAATGAATAAGGGTAATGATGTAAAGTCACATCACCATGAGACCTTCTTTAATGCTCTGAGAAATAAAACCACCATGAAGAGATGGGGTCAGGAAGAAACTTTGCCACTGGGGTTCTCTCCTAGGAGAAGGACTGCAGGACTTTTTGCTCTGGTCTCATTTTCAGCACAGGCATGATGTTTTCAAATCATGTTTCTGCCTATCTTGTGTTATCCAAGCTTTTCTGAAAGAACAACATGCATTTTGGGGAGGCTTCTGGAAGATGATCAAAAGGAGAGAACACCCAGTGCCTGTCTGAATACAGTAGGATGGGAACAGGACTGTCAGCTCTTGTCCTCTCACTGGGCACCACTGAGAAGAGTCTGGCCCCATCTTCCTTTCTTCCCCATGCCATCAGCTATTAATACATGTTAAAAAGATTGCCCTGAGCCATCCCTTCTCCAGGATGAAGGCTCCCTGCTCCTGCAGCCTCTCTTTGCACGACAGGTAGCCCAAACCCTCCATCTCCCTTGTAGTCCTTTACCAGGCTGGTTTCAGCATGTCCACCTCTCCCCATTTCTCCCCTTGTCCAGGTGTCTGGCTGTGCAGCCAGCTCTCTGCACCTCGCTCTGCACTTCTCTAACCCCAAATCCCATCAGTGTGCCCGTGGGGATGCTGTGGAGGCAGCATCAAAGGGATGCTCCAGTCACCATGAGGAGAAACCACCGGTGGTGCGGGGCTGGGAGTCCAGCTGGCCGGCCAAACTGCCCTCCAGCTCCTGCAAAACCAGTGTATAACGAGGCTTTCTCCTCAAAACCCTTCCTGGAGCCACCTGAAGTGCTGTCTCCTTCCCTAAAGCTTTGGGATCACGGAGCCCAGGGGTGCCCACGGAGCCCCCCGCAGTGCCCCTCAGCACCCCGCCGCCGTGCCCTCAGCAGGGGGGCATCACAGCCGCTCGGAGCGGGTCTGACCCCACATGCAGCCCCCTCTGAGGACCCCACAAGGGCTCCCCCGTGTTCCCCAGGGACCACCGAGCTCCTCGGCCCGGCCCCGCCGCCCTGCCCGGGGCCCGGCCCCGCTGTGAGCCCGGGGCCGCCCCTCAGCGCTCATTTCCTGGCGGCGGCGGCGGCCGGGCCCCGGAGCGGCTTCGTGTCCCCAAAGCCGCCTCGGGGTGGGACCCGAGGGGCGTCCCCGGTGCCTGGGGAGGAAGAAAAGGGAGGGAGGGAGGGAGGGAGGGAGAGGCCCCGCGGCTTCTTCCCCCGGGCCAGCCCGGGTCGATGCGAGCCCCCGGGCTGGGGGCCGATGAGACCCCCGCGGGGCTGCCGGAGGCGCGGAGTCGTCGTGGGCACCGTCACCCTCTGCCTGGCCGCCGGCTGGGCGCTGCAGAGTAAGTGCCCGGCCCCGGGCTGCCGGCCCCCTCCTTCACCCTCCTCCTCCTCCTCTTCTCGTCCTTCTCCTCATTATCGTCCTCCTTTCATCTTCCTCTCGTCCCCCTCTGAACCTCCTCCTCCTCCTCTCCTCTTCCTCATGCTCCTCTCCTCACCCTCCTCATCCTCCTCTCCTCCTCTTCCTCCTCTCTTCCTCCACTTCAACCTCCTCCTTCTTCTCCTCCTTCTCCTCTCCTCATCCTCATCCTCATCCTCCTTTCCTCCTCCTCTTCCTTCTCCTCCTCCTCTCTTCCTCCTCTTCATCCTCTTCTCCTCCTCCTCATCCTCCTCTCCTTCTCCTCCTCCTCTTTCTCCTTTCATCCTCCTCCTCCTCTCCCCCTTTCTGGCCTCCGCTCTGACTGCTCGGAGGATATTTTGGGGCCAGGACGAGCCCCCCAGCACCCACACAGAGGAATTAGGGTGGGCAGTGCCGCAGGTGGCTCTGGGTTTGGCCGCTGTGCGCTGCCTCCTTCCTCACCAAGGCAGCACACGACGGGGACACCCCCGGGTGGATGTCCCCATGGAGACCCTTCTCTGGGGACCAACAGCGCTCAACCCCAGAGCTCCTTGCAAGCAGCACCAGCCTCATCGCCACCAGCACGCTTCCACCCAAAAAACCCGGCCAGTGTGGCCATCGCAAGGTCTGGGACACAAAACAGCACCAGCTCGAGCTCCTGGACGGTCAAAGGGTTTGTAGTGCAGCATTGTGCCAGCAAACAGGCGGCATTGGTGCCCCCTTCCCCTCATCCCGCCTCATGTGGGGCTGTAAGGGTCGGTGGGTGCAGCCAGCAGCACGCGGCCGCGCTGCTCAGGGTGCTGCCCGTGGGTGCGATGTTTGCTCTCGGGGCTGATGCGGCTCTGCTTAGCTCAGACCGGTTCAGGTGACCCAGGCAGGCTGCGTGTTAAAAATGGGTTTCGGTGTTCAGCTACTGCGTTGTCATACTTGGCTCAGCGTGCTGGATGGAGACAGAGCACATGCAAGTAATTCAGTGGAGGAAATTTATTTATTTTTACCTTTACCTTGCAGTCTTATGCTGAAAACAAAGTCCTGAGTTTATCAAAGCATGAAAGAGTGGCTGTGGGGAGACACTCAGCTCCTGTGTGGACAGAAACAGAGCAAAAGGCCTTTAACTGAACACACGGAACAGAAAACAATTGGAACAATTTGCAGCGATTACCAGAAGTTCCCGTCTGTTCTGTTTATTTAGCTCTCACAAATCCCTTTTTCACAGGTCTGTGTCGCCTCTCGTGCAGGCAGGGTGAAACTGAGAGCACAGCTGAGCTGGAGGTGGAAAGGAAAGCACAGTGTCCCTGCAGCAGCAGCACAAGCATGACACAGTACCATGGAGTGAGAACCCCAGGGGTCTTATCCTGGAAAAAGCCTACAGCCCATCTGGTCAAAAAACAGAGAGGCTGGGGCTTTCCCCTGTGCTGGTGCCACGGATGAAGATCTAGGAATCAAAGCAGCTTTTCCACTTTCCCCTTTTTCACTTTAGCCAGTAGCTTCTGAATCCTGTTAGAGGGATCCTAAACAGAGTGGAGTCAGCTTGAAATTCACTTACCCCTCTCCTCCCCATTTGTGCTTGCTTAGGAGTATCACTAGCCCAGAGGGTTATTATTATTTTTTTAATTTTATTTCCCTTGGAGATGTTCTTCTTTGCCTTTTTTAAGCATTCTTTCTCCCAAAGACCCCACACGGCCTCCAGGAGGCATTTCCCCATGGTCCTGCTTTGCTCACACCCTCAGCGCGGCTGAGGGACTCACCCTCTGGCCCCGCTGCGTTCAACATTTGCAGATCACCACTGCTCTTCAGCTCAGCAGTAGCACTCGGGATGTGCCCACATCATGAGAGCAGGCTGATGAGCTCCTCCAAGCTGAACCAGGAAAAGGCATCTGATGGTAGGGCTTACTCTGTGCTTTATCTGCCATCTGTCTGCTCTGATTGCTTTGGGTAACAGGCTTTCAGCCTCTAGCCAACTGTCTGAAATGGGCCACTAATTCAAGAACTATATACACTGATTGAAATTGGGATGTTTGGTGTTCAGGCTTTCAGCCTCTAGCCAACTGTCTGAAATGGGCCACTAATTCAAGAACTATGTACACTGATTGAAATTGGGATGTTTGGTGTTCATCCAAATCTTCAGGCAGAAAACCCCCACGCAAGCAGAGCTATTGCAGTTACGCATTAAACTGAATAATCAGTTCAGTTTAGCAGTTCTGAACAGCTCCACGATCACATCAGTGTGTATTGTGTTAGAATTCAATATTCTTTTGTATCCATTTTTGCCAAGAAATCAGTGTTTCCTTTGAAACAAGGTACCTCTGACTGTAAGCAATTTATCTGCACCGACCAACAGCTGGCTGCCTTGATGGAGCTGTTGTCTCAAACATTGCTAACACTTTATTTCTGATTTAAAGTTTACTAGACTTCTCCAGCAGCTTGCTGTGTCCATCTCATCCTGCAAACATAATGAAGTCCTTGCCGAGTCTTCACATGTTTAAGTCTGTTCTTGCTTTTTGGGGATGATAATTAACTGATATAATAGGTTACCTTGACCATGGAAGTTAAGCTTTCCATTTAAATGCAGGATTTTAAAGGCAAACCAGTTACTGATGAATACAAAAGCTTTACTCTTGCTCCATGGCATGAGGTAAATAAGCCGGATTTTATACAATCTTATTTCTTCAAACTGTTCCTTGCCATTTTTGGGGGGGCATTAGGCTGGCTTGGCTCGTGTAAGGTCCCCATAAACTGGAACATTGTGATTGAAATCATAAATGCCATCTTTTTTCTTTTTTTTTTTTCTTTTTTTGGTTAAATACTCAGCATTTAAGTTGTAACTACATTACTGTGAAGCCGGGACATAAGGGAGATGGGAGGTGAGGACTGCTCACAAAAAAAACACAGTTCATTTTACCTCTGAGGAAGGTGGCAGATTGCAGGGACTTGAGAAAATACAGCAGCATAGTGATAGGGGGTGCCTACCGCAGGGATCTTTAACTTACCAAGCAAATGCAGCACCTATTTTTCCCATGCGTTTACTCACATTGATTGTTATGATTGTTAAAATGTATTAAAGATGAGATTTATGAAAGCAGGATATGATTTCCATTCTTCCATTTGAGGTATATTGAAATATCAGACTTTTCAGAAAATGCTATGCTCTCTTCCCCAGAAAAACTCTTCCAAATTTTCTCCTCTTGGGTATCAAAACACAAGCAATTGTCCTTACTTGTCCTGTAAGATAGACAAATTTCTCCTGGCTATAACCAATTAAAACATGTATTTAGGCTTAAGTTAGACATGTATGTGCCTTCCACAGTCAGCAGAGAGAGAAACGGCAGAGGATAATCCCTCCTCTTCTAAAGCAGGTCACAGGGACAGGAAGATTTGCCCTGCAAGAGGTCCCATCCTGCCGGGGACACTCACTGCTGCATCACCTCCACACTCACTGCCTCCTTTCTCTTTCAGCCCCTGGAGGAGTATCACTGACTGTCCCACAGCCCAACATCAACGCAACGGTGGCACAAAATATCCTCCTCTCTGTTGAATACTCTTGCAGAGGCGTCGCCACCGTTGAGTGGAAGCATGTGTCGAGCTGGGGCACCACCAGAATTGTGGAGTGGAAAAGCGGGAATTACGTCAACATATCCGCTGTCTACAAGGACAGAGTGACTATTTTTGAAAATGGCTCTATAGAGCTTCGGAACGTGGGCATGAGAGATGCTGGCTACTATTTGGTCACTGTCACAGAGGAGTATGGAACCAACACCTACGGCGCCATCATAGTCAATGTTTATGGTATGAACTTGACGGGAGTTCTCAGCTTTACCCCGTGTTTAAACATTGATCTGCTCATAAACAATTTTCTAATGATATATTTCTGTCTTCCCTGCAGAGATTATCTACGAAGATATACATTTTGTAGCGGTTCTCTTTGCGTTTCTCGCTGCAGTGTCTGCCATTTTGATCTGCTTCATGTGGCTGTGTAATAAATCCCTGCACCTGTTCCAGAAGACGACACATAAGCTATCAGGTATCTAAGAGTGCAGTCAAGGTACAGGGTTCTCAAATCTGAGTTTTGAGCCAAAAATTCACTCACAGTTTGAGCTCTAAAGGCGCTGAGCAGTGACAGAGAAACAAAATTGGACGGGCTCAGCTAAGTTATCCTGTTCAACTCCCTACTAACACAGGCAACAGAATAATAGATTATTAGTTCAGAGAGATATGAAGGACATTTATCTTATACATTTTACATCAGAAACCATAAAATACTTCCCAACCTCATTAAAAACTTAGCAATTAAAAACTACAAAACTTTGGGAGAAAAGGCTGGAGCCGCAATAACCACCCCCCACCACAGGACATGAGCCAGAGAGCACCAGCAACACCTCCAGGTTCTACTGCAGAAGAATCTGCTGTCTCCAAGGGGAAAATACTCAAATGGCCCCTGGAGTGGTCCCCTCCTCACTTCATGGAGGACTGCACCACTTCCTCACCTCCCAACACCCTCCTTTAATCCATTCTCATGGCTGACCCAGTTGCAAACTTCAGTGAACATTGACTAATATTAAAATCTGGCTCCTAATATGAGCCGAAGGCACCAGCCATGGAAAGCAGAGCTGACAGATCAAGAGAACACAGGAGATGCACTGACAGGAGCATCCACATATTAGAGAAGAAACTTTCCAGCCACAGCCTGGGATATACTGCCTAGGTAGCAAGAGAAGAGGCCATGCTACGGGCACGGGCTCAAGCTCTAGGCAAATCCTTGGATGGGTGGTTTCTTTTACCACTTCAAAACATTTCAGCCATTCACCTCCATTTTTTGTAAGTGCAGATCCATTTGTGGTCTCTTGCCCTGCAGGCAAAACGTCTGTGTTTCTTCTTGAAGTGCTGCTTAAGCTGTTACATTTCAAGCAGCCAGTGTCAATATTTCACCAGGTCAACTCAGATGCTCAGAAATCCCAATCCTCCGCACCCAGACTTCATGTCAACTCTGCAAAACTTGATGTGAAAAGAGGTCAATTTGTCTTATGCTGTCTCGTCCTTTCTGCTGCTCACCTATGACTCCACGGGCTGCTGATGTTTTTTCAGCACACACACAGCTCACGAGCTTCTGTAGCTACTGCATATTTTCATATCATGCCAGAATACACAGTCTTACTTGGATAAAACCTCTCATTTCCTCCAGTTAAAGCCAATGTTTCTATAGAGCCAGAGTCTTACAAAGTCTGAATCCCATACTTTATTTGGCAGGCTTTAGGAATACTGCAGTACTGGACACCTGCTCTGTCCTCATCCAGAACAGGATCCAAACAGGGACATAATTTCTGCCCTGATCCCACCTTAGGACAGCCCTCCTTTTGGCAATTGTAAAGAAAAGAATAATGGCCTTATAGACTTTGTTTTATTTTTCATTGTGCCTTTAGTCTTGGACTTAACAAAACCAGAGTCACATTCAGCACGGTGAGGGACTCTTTATGCAAATATTTGGAAAAGATGTCTTGTATTTAAAACCCAATTGTAGATGAGTAAGCTTGAGCTAATATTAAAAAGTTCAGAATGTCTCAGCTATTAACACCGAGTTGTTAATTTTGGAAAGGGGACCTTCCCATCCATTTGCCAATCAATAATAATATCCTTTCATTTGCAGCAAGTACAACTGAAGAGATTGAACTGGAAACCATTGAATGTTAGCCAAGGACTGTCTCATAACAAAAATAACAATTCTACCTCAGGAGAAAGCATTGGCACGGAAAGCAAGAAGAAACTTATAAGGTAAAGTGTCTGTGACTACTGTAGAAGCTGTTTGGCGTGCAAAGGTAATAGGACATGAAACGAGCTGTGTCTGATGGAGCTGTTTTGACCTGTTACAATTTCAGCTCTGCTAGTCATTGTCAAAGTAAAAGAGTACGCTTTCATGGCTGAGCACAAACACATTTTTGTGGCTAACTAATAAAATCTACAGCCTCCACCACTCTTAAGAACAACCACGCAACTAGTATCAACCCATAAAGGAAATGATCGTGCTCTTGAAGGACGCCTGCATTTTGGCCACGGCAAGTATCCTGCTACAGACCAACCAGCCATTAGGATCATTCAACGTAAATTTATTATGTCTAATTACAGTATTACATTAAAAAAAATTAACTGCAAGGATTGAATCCTGTTCATTGTGCCTATGCTGCTACTTTCAGTCATAAGGAATTTCCTGAAGGTCTGAACACAAACTGTAATTCTTCTGGAGACAAAACTGACTTTGAAATAACGCCAAGCTGGTCAAAGTTCCACCACTTACATTTCCAATTGTTTACATTGCTCAGGGATATTAACACACATTTTATTACATTACTAGGAAAGGTTGTTAAATGGGGAACTGCACACAGGCACCGAAGCTGATGCTGTCTGTAACGATTAGAGTGGGCAGATAAAATACACATCACACCTGTGGCACGGCAGAAATACCGAACAGTTTCTTTGTGAAAGATGTCAAGCCCTTTGCAAACTGAGCCCGCTGATGAACAGCCTATCCAGGAAGAAAAAATAAAACAGCATTACTTCGAAATTTAGTGTTTACAATTACAGTTCTGAAATCACTCTAGTTAAGAGAAGACACCTTTGCTTGCCTATTCTGTAGAAAACAAGGAGTAAGCTAGCTAGTGTTTGCATGAATCCATGTGCTGTACTTGAATTCTCCACCTGCAGATCCTCTGGGTGGAATAACGTTGGCTTTTCGAGAGAGAAAGCGCTAAACCAATGAATCTTCAAATTACCCCATTTTGCTTTTGTAAAGCAGCCTGCAGTAAGCATTGAAAACGTACGAGACTGCAGGTTAATCTGTCTACAGATGCCACATGGCTTTTTGAGTTTAACTGCTGCTACTGCCTCTCACACTGCAGCTCATTCTCATAGTTTTATGAGCCAGGCCGACAGCGTCCCCTCCCTCTGCTCAAGGACTGCTGTGCTCAGGTGCAGAGGTTAGACCTGTAAAAAAAACGAATTTCTTGCCAAGTGCATAATAAAGCAGATAGGTGCTAAAAAGCTTTTTCCAAAGCATCCCGAACATAATTCTTTTAAAGAGTCAGGCCTGGATTGAACAGGCCATTTGTAGTACAAGAGGCCTGACATCCACTCATAAATTCACATGCTAGATTCAGCTGGCTGCTCTTTCCTTCATCAAGGAGGAAAGAAACTAAAAATAAAATTAAACTAAAATCCCAGCTATAGCACAGCTTTGTGAAGGAACAATTTGCTCCAATTCTTCACATTATGTATTTATAACAGCCTTCTGTATCTTTGAGTGAAGCTTTGATTTTACAGAAGCTTCAAAGTGTCTGCTTTCACTACCAAGCTTGCAGGACTCAGTAAGGTATCCATATTGCATACAGAATATATGCATTTTTTTTCAGTTTATCTTTTTCAGATTATTATTTTTCAATCCGTAAATCTTAGAACTTGAAGTTATTCACTATGCTGAGCATATAGCAGGTGCATTGCCAGACTTGCTTAGAAAGTACACTTAAGTGCAGCTTACATGTCAAACCATTATTATCTGCTAACGTTTACTAGAATAATGTAATTGTCAAAGTCAGCAAACATATGCAGGCATAAATGACCTTTTGAATTCATCGTTCTAATTGTGGGGATTGTTTTCACTTTCAGAATACAATACTTGAAGCTGGGATAAAAGTAGTAAATGACTATTAAGTCCTTACAGTTCAGATGCTCTGTAACTGCAGTATGAAGTTTCTGACTAGCGTGGTTCTACCTCAGCTTGGCTAAAGATACAGAAGTTTTGGGTACCCATCCTTGGTTATTGATGCTACTGCCAATCTCACTTTTAAGTAGTAATATCCTTGATGGACAAGAGGGATTCAAAGAATATTCAGTGATTCCATACAGCAGTTAGCTTACACACTGCTTTGCTCCTAGACAATTCCTTGCAGGAAAATTTTATCCAAAATACAGCATAATTAAAGGTAGTGCAACATAAAATAATCCACATTCTGTGAAACTGGTGTTTGTCAATATTCATTATCCACGTCAATAATATTTTATATACAAAACATGAGGCTGTTTGGAGCAGTCCCTTGCTGTGTGGGGTGGCTGAAGAATTTAGTTTTACTGCAAGCTTTTAAAAATGGAAGTTTACAAATTAAATAGCAACTCTTATTCCATTCATAAACTGCATGCAAAGCTGCAGCAAAAGCTAATACTTAGAACATTCCAAGTGATCAAAGGGATTAAACCATTTTATATTTAAACTTTTTAATTAAAGAGATGTCCAAGTTCATAAGATTGCTTTGACAATCAAGTGTAAAGGTCTTAATCATCCATTAAAGTCTCCATCTCATGCTTAAAGACATACTACCAAAAATTTCAAGACTGTCTCTGTTGTTAGAAATCATATCAGTGTTTTTTCATTGCTGTTGAATACACAGGGATTCCTAATTTTAAAAGACTCTTTGAAGGTTTCAAATCATCTTGCGGGTTGTTGTTTAATAACAGCTAAGCCTGAAAGGCTGGAGGTGAAGATACTCACCTGATGTGTAGTGCTTACACTCCTGGAATTGAAATGATCGCCTTGCATGTGTTGTTTTGTCTTTTTTCCCCTCCCAGAAGGAAGCATATCCTGCAACCATACGAACCTAATAGTTCAACATTGATTATTTGGTAATGAAATGCTTATTTGACAAAAAAGACTACTGCTACATGCAGACTTGTCAGCTTGAGTTAAATTTATCCATATACTTCACTGTCTTTAAGTTTCATACACTCAACTTCTAATTTTGATTGAGAGTTTGATTGAGAGATGTGTTGCATTGCTAAAACAGCCTCATTGCAACCAGATGTGTGACAAATGCATCCAGCTGTGAGCTGAAGGGGACAAAACCCCTCTCTGTCTGTAATCCTACAGCTTCTGCCTGCCAAGCAATATAGCAACTGCTACCTCAGGTTCTTTAAGACTCGCCCATCTCAAGAAGATAAAGACGTGCTATTTTCAACTATTTTTTTTCCATGAGTTATCAAAGAACGTGAGAAAACCCTTTTCTCTCCCACAGTTCAGTTGAAATGAGGCAGATATTTCAATGAGCTGCAGTAACAGTCTGTTCCATGGTGTAAAATTCCAGCACAGGTACAATGAGTACAGTGGCTGCTGTGGATACACACTGAAGAGCAGCTTGCCACAAGCAGTTGCTTAGTACCCATTTCTAAACAGCTATTCCATATTGCTCAAGAACATTACCAAAATAACAGCTGTCACTACAGAAGTAAGATGGTTTAATTCAAGCACAGTCTATGTGCAGTTCTCATATATATACATACACCTTGGAATGTAAGATGGATTTAAGTCTAAACCAGCTTATACAGACAGCTTTCAAAAAGACCTTTAGCAATTAATCATCACACAACAGAAGAGCTCCGTGCAACACCTTAGTAGGAGCTTCAAGAAGGCTACAATTACAACCAAAAAGAAAAGAAAAAAAACAAACATATTACTCCTTTGTTTTAGGACCTCAAAAGAGCTGATAAGCTCTTTTAAGAGAGCTCCATAAGAATAATACTGTTTTCCTAGATTGCAGTTGATGCCAGGGCAGAGAGGGAAAAAAAAAAAAAAGAAAAAAAAACCACGACTGCGGAGATCCAAGGTCTACTGCATGTGAGTTACCTGCTCTTCCTCTCTGTTCCTGCTCTGTTCTTCTCAGAAATAATTTACACCCCCTCTCCAAAAAAATGCACACAAATTCACTGTTAGGAGCTTTTTGCATGCAGATGAAGACTTGTTCCTCTACATGTCTGCTTGCAACTTCTGTAGATTGCAAAGTACCATACACTGCATACACTCAGCAGGAGCCGTGGCTTTGCAGTGTTCTCAACTTAAAGCACTGATGCGTCTCTCAAGAAGAAATGAAACAGACAACCCAGAGGCCACACCACTGTACCACTGATGTACAGCATCAGCCCCCAACCCAAAAACATCACACAGTGAAGAATGGCTACTTGAATTTTAAATAATTTTAAATTTCTTTGTGATCTAGGTCACTAAAAGGCTTATTGATTGCACAGTTTATTCTGAATTGTACTCTTTCAGAAACATTTGCAAAAATCTATTTAGAAGAAATAAATCCAGGGAAGAAAAGGGTATCACTTTGAGCAGACACCTTTCATACAGCACAGGACTACTGAATTTCATATTTTTAAAAGAAAAAACATTAGACATGTTAATCTAGGTAGAGCAATATGCAAAGGTACAGCTGAAAAGAACTTTTTCAAAAAGTCATATTCTCTATGTCATTGAAAACACTTTATTATAAACGCTACACTAGACAGATCTGTACAGGAAATAAATTTTTGTTTTCTTGTATTGCCCCACAGGCTCCGTTTCCCTTTGCTGTGTGGGCAGCAAACTTTGGCAGCACAGCGCTGATTCCAAGCCCCCCCGGACAGACGGATGGGTTATTAGCATGGAGTTAGGGCTGCCATGAGGAGCTCCATTTTGTACACAAAGTTACGCCCTTCCATTTTATTCCACTGAACTTCCTTGAAGGGCCCTCGAAGATGATTCCACTTGTTATCTTGCAGCACATCGCCTTTGGGGAGATCCTTGCACTGACTCCGTGGAAACTGAACCATAACTTTGCTGCCACTTTCAGGACCATTACGGACTGTGAAGGACAGAGATTTTATGAGTTTTTTACACTTTTGAAATTCCTCATGTTAAATACCCTTCCTCACGCATGCTATACATTACTACCTAGACAATTCCAAACATACTGTAAAAAAAACTACTGTACTTTTTTTTTTTTTTTAAATAAAGAGTTTTTCCTCTTTGGATTTGCTTTCTCTGGTTTCCCACCTCTCTTCTATTACTTCTGTTATGTTAGCACAGCATGCTCTTGGCTACACCAAATCAGAAAAACATCTGACCAGAACAAAACAACAAAAAAAATCCCCTCACACATGCATTTATTTTTCCATAACAGTATCAAGAACAGGTTTCCCCCCCCCTTCTTATTTTTGATGTATTCCTCGCCACTCCATTCAAAAAAGTATATTCTAAATCTCTTGAAATTCATCTATAAAAGTAATGATTTCTGTTGCTTTTATCACAGAACTCTGCAACATCAGTGGTGTTCTCTTTGTGTGGTTAAGGGATTTTTGACAATTTCCAGTCAGGTTTTGAGGATTTCCATGGACGAGGACTCCACAACATATCTGGGCAACTTGTTTTAGGGCCTGACCACCCTCACAGTAAAAAAAATAAATTTATTATACACTAATAATACACTAATTCTGTTTAGGTGTCAATTCCATACACAAGAGACTGTCTCTAAAATATTTTGCTATAAGTGGGCATTATTCTATAAATCCCAGAGACTGGCTTTAGAAAAAGACTTAAAAAAAATAAAAACAAATCCCTTAGAATGCATTAAAGAACTTTAATAATTTTGTATACATTTGGAATAGGAAAATATTACCTGAAATGGCATAGTCTCCATTTGGTGATGCTACAGTTATCGCTGATGCATTGCCAATACTCTCCACTGGCCCCAGCCCAACATGGTTACTGAAGCTCAGCACGTGCCATCCCATAACTTTTGCAAGCTGCTGAACCGCATGTACTTGGTGCTGTGACATCTGAGAGAGAACAAAAAGTTCATCTTATCAATATTTGCACACCACAGAATTAATTGAAGCGTTTTACCACGCTTTTTCTTCTGCTGCTGGACAGTAGTTATTTATAAAAGCAACTTTATCTTATGTTCTCAAGTTTTGGAGGAACTTTTTTTAATATGCTATGTATGTCAGTAGTGCTTTCTTTGAGTTAGACACCTCCTTTGCACACAGAGAAGACCGCTGTATTAAGTACACTATGTAGATGAATTTTTCATAGATACATGGGCTTATATGCTTCTTTAAAAATAAAAAATAAAAAGTGTTGCTTTCAATTAACACCAAACTGAAGTGTTAAGAACAGGATATTGAATTCTTTTTTCTTGGTTAGGAGATTAGAATTCAGCTCTAGAATACCTAAAATATCTGTGCGTGTAAGTGTTATGGCAAACTCAAATAAATAAATAAAAGCTGAGGTTCTTGAGCACATGATTATCTCCATCACCCTTCAAGTACTTTAAGCACTGAGCTTTAACAACTTCAAAAATTAGAAACCTAAGTTTTTCTGTATTAAATTTAATGCTCGTTACAAGGAAGAGCCTAGCACTGTTAGTAGTTCTCTGAAAAAGCCTAAAAACACTTGATCAAAAAGAGATACTGTCAGCAGAACCTGTTTCAACTTGTTTTCTTTGTGTCGTGGAGTTTCATGTAACTGCAACAGGCCAACCATTGTTATTAAAGGCCTGTATTTCGGCTATTTATAATGCATAGTAGCGAGACTGTCACTTCTGAACAAAACCAGCAGCTTGCTCCATACAATTAAGAAACCACGGTTCAAATATCAGCTGATTTAGTAATGCCTGCTGCAAAGCAAACACTAACAAGACAGTGCTGAAATGCCAGTAATTGTGGACTCATTAAAATCTCTACTCTAAATTGGATTTGGTTTGAGCAAGCTTCATATATTGAACACCTTATAGTCTGCTATGACTCTTGCTTGCTTGTTCTGAAGTCAGCAAAAAATCTTAGCGCTCTGATAATGAGTAGCATAAACAAATGCACTTCATTGGGAGAGTAAAAATTGATTACTGATAGTGACCTTTGTAAAAACTGGCATCCTATTTAGTATCAGTTACTAAAGTCACTACACAAATATACTAAGAAAAAAGTCATACACCTTCCTATTTGCAATACCTTTATTTCAAGTTTTCTAATACTTTTTTTTTTTTTTTTTTTTTTTTTTTACAAATATAAAAGGTGAGATTTTTGCTTCAGCTCTTCCCCAACACACTATTAGAAACAGAAGAATAACATAGACAAGTCTACCTGAGATAACAGGAAATCCTGCAGTTCTTGCTCCTGATGGGACAAGGTAATGACTCTTCCATCTCTATGCACTACTCTGATTTGTTCAACTCCAATGTTCAGTTGTAGTTGGATGGATCTTTGAAGACAAGATGCACATTTATTCAAAATGTGTTACAAAACTTCTGAAAACAGGAAGCCTGCTCTAGAACACAGAATCCCTCCCATTAATTTATAAGAACTTTAACATGAGGATGGTGCAAAGCCCATAGAATACAAAGGAACTCAAAATATCTCGATTTCATCATTCACCTCAACACCTCTCTCCATATTGCAGGACATGGCATGCTCCCAGAGCCAGTCCACTGCTTGTTCAGGTCAAGGAACCTCCCGACGTGCCTCACAGCTCCCTCCCAAGCTTCTTTCCAGAGGCGCATGGGAAAATGCTGGTTACTGTTCTACCTAAGTCTTGAGCAGCAGGTGTTTCTGGAACCAAGACTGCAAATTGTACCAGCGACCACAAGCTGCTCCGCAGTGTGGAAGCAGCCAGAAAGGACTGCTCAAAATAGGAAAATGGTGTTAAAGTAACTAGTTCATCCACTTGTCCATATAGTTAATTTGCTGCTGGTCAGCATGTAGATGTTCATTTCTGGAACATGATGTCTCATATTTCAACGTCAATGTAATAATAGCATAAATTGCATGAGCTTCACATTTCAGTTCCTACGTAACCAAGCTAGGACTGAGCAGCAACAAGCTCTCCATGACCAAATTGGAAGCTCAGAATCCAGTACATAAAGAAAAACTTTATACTCAGCTATCTCCATCTGAACTAAATCCTCCTCCTCAATGACCACTTTCTGTTTCAATTCCTCCCTTGAAGGAAACTCTGCTTAATAAGTTAACTACTTACTAAGTTTCTTCATTAAATGTACTGTAAAATGGGCAAGAGCTTTCTTACGGTGGTTGCTCCTTCCCACTCAGAAAAATAAAATACTTGTGCACAAAAACCAGTTTCCTAGTTTTCTGTCTTAAACCTGTAAAGAAAACTTGAATACTCTCTGCCATTGCAGCATCAATTTGCAACTAGAAAGATTCAGGCATTTTCATACTTACTTGCAGATCTGTTCATATCCTTGAGACGTTATTAGAACTTTAACACTGGATTCATAAACATCATTTATGTTTGACCAGTGGGCTTGAATCTGAGGATCCTCAATACGGCTCGCCAGACTGTCAATGGTTCGAGCGGTTCTAGAAGAGAAAGACACATTCCACCCAAAATAACCTCACCAGTTTGTGCTGTTACTTCCTTTTTTTTTTTTTTTTTTTTAAAGGGAAATGAGTACGTCAAGAGTTTGATTTTCTTTGTGCCATGCAAAAAGCTTGCCAGTCCTACAGAACCATGCAGATCAAAGTTCTATTTCAGCACCATTCAGGTGCAAATAAAGCACACTTGTTTATTCCATTTCATGTGTATTCTGCAGAAATATTGAAGTGCTATTACTCAGCATCAGCTAATGCACAGCAAAGAATACTAAAAAGGATTTATGCAATATAAGGAAAGTAGAGACAACAATCAGCAGCCTACATTACAGCTGCCACAGATCTCAGAAATCTTTTTTTTTTTTTTTTTTACTAGGAAAGTGTTTACTCATACTTTGTTATCTGTTCTTAGTACTTCAAAATAAATAAATAGTCAAGAAGCAGCTAGTTTTAAGAACACTTAAAAAAAAAAAAACAATTGTGTTTTACACGGATATACCTTATTGCAACTGTAACAAGACTAGCCTGTGACCTACCTGCGTCTCAGAAAGATGTGTTTTGCCTGCTTTATGATCTTTTCCAAAAGTCCTTCGTTTGACTGTAAAGCACTGATTTCGTTTTTATCAAAAGCCTGGGGTCCTGCTAGTCTCATTCTCTTATGGCCGAAAGGTGCACTAGCTGGATGTGGCATCACTGTGGAGCTCAGGGTTTGCTTGTGACACTGCAAACAAACAACAGCTGTTGTAAGAGAAAGTGCACCTGCAAGAAGCAGTACGTATATTACAACATTCTGTTTCACATTGAGTCTTAGAAGTGTAAAAACTTTCAGGAAGTGTATCTTTTTCGACTTCGTAAGCTTGACAGTGGTTTATATAAAAACAGCTTTATAATTACACTTTGCCTCCCTGTCTTTCAAACCTCGATGAAAGGTTACCAGCTAACAAAAGTTTGGTAGTATAGCAGTAGCTCCTACTACTAAGTCTGCTATCTAAAACTAAAGGACTAAAACTAAAGGACTAAAACTAAAGGACTAAAACTAAAGGACTAAAACTAAAGGACTAAAACTAAAGGAAGCATTTCAAAGATGAAAACTGAGGTACAGAAAGTTCAAAGTCATGAAACAAAATTCACAACAAAGCTGGGCACACCTCTCTTAGCTCAGTGTTTAAAAACACTGGACTGTTCCACATGACTTCATCTCTTGTGGAGCCATGCTCTAAGGATATGAACACTCTCAGGAACACGGTTTCACAACTACTTAGATATCTGCAGTTTGTCTAATTTGTTCAGGAGGGGAGCACAGCTCAACCTCCTATCCCGGGTCCTTCTACCTGATAACATGAGAATCTAAAACACTGAAGCAAGCAGTGGACCTCAAACAAAGCAAAGTTATTATAGTAATTGATTCTTCTTTCCTTGTGGGAGTACGGTCTGAACCAATGCTCAGTTTAAGCACTTGACAAACACTCATCAGACACAAAGGAAAAAGGGAGGCTGAGGAGCTGTACTGAAAAGACCTCGCACGCCTTTTCTGAAGCAAGCAGCAAGGCCTAAGGTTAAGTCCAGAACTACTGTTCCAAGAAAGCATAACGTCAACTCCCTGATCACCCACGCATACCAGAACTGATCGGCAGGCTGCCTCGCACAAATGGATAGGAGTTTGCAGGCCTCTAGTGGCTTTCTGCTGTACTACGTGTGAGTCTGAACAAAAGCCAGAATATATTGCACATTACCTCTCTGATAAGCTGATGCAAATTATGCTCCAGAACGTAGAGATGATCCTCTGGATTCTGTTTTTCAGCAGCTGACTTCTGTGATTTTTTGTCATTGGAAGAGTGACACAGAGAAATAGACAACTGCAAACCTGCACAAGTAGATTAAAAAATTAAGGATACTAAAAGTTCTTGGGCCTGCTGCTAAGAACTTATTCTTCACCAACCAACATTCAGCATCTTTTTCTAAAAAAAAAAGTTTCAACCAATACTGAAACGTTCTCCCTAAAACATAATTAGTTGTATACCCCTTTTTAGTCTTAGTTCTTCTGAAAGCCCATTAGCTAAGGTCTTAAGTTTCACCTGCATGAAATCCAGGAGCTGTGCATGTCAGACTGCTATGTGCACAGATCATCACAGTTGATATATTAAATGCTACTGACAAAATAACAAATCAGAAACGAATCAAAATCTATACAATAAAATACTAGTAAATTAGAAACTAAAATGTATTAGTTCAATCTTACTACAATTAGTAAGCAAAATTCTGGGAAACTCTGGTTTTCCAATTCTTTGAGGAGCAAGATTAACACACTGTTCATTTGCTTCTTCTTTTTTAAGTCACGTCAAACAGAATTTCAGCTTGTACTTAAGCAAATAATCCTACCTGGGAAAGGCTGGGAGATGATTTGGTTTTTCACAACAATGTGAGGAATTTGTGATTTAATTTGAACAGCTTCTCGTGATAGCTGGGCAAAGATTTCTTTACATAACAGAACATTCTGTGCAGTCTCCAATTTTGTCTGCCAGTGGGGAGAACCTTAAAAATATGAATTAACATTTTCAGAAGAGTAAAGAAAAGTTACCTTATTTTTTCCCCTCTAGGTATCAGATATTCTGCAGTAGTTGTGAGACGTGGCCTGAATGCAATTGCTATAGCAGCAAGACAGTATATTCTATTCAAACAGAATATTTTCCAAAGTTTTACCTGTTAAGCAAGCACTTTTAGATAACACTAGTGAATTTCACTTTGCTTTATACGTATATTGTATGTATACACATATACAGATATTCTAAACTGCTACCCCCTTCTGTAACTGTAATTATATTCCCAGATCTTTCATGAATTCTGCTCATGAGCTTGAGCTTCTTAAGTTGCTATTCACTTCTAAAGAAACTTCTGGCTTTATTTAATTCACTCTGCAACAAGCCAACAAAATAATTTTATGTACTTCTACAGGATTTACAGACCCAAAAGATTCTGGTCTATACTGTAGCCTGAATGCTCTGTGAAACAGCTAAATATAGCATCAAGCCTGTGTTCAAAGAAGCACATAGTCTGCTGTGAAGTAAAACCCTGCCAACAAGTTCTTTTTAATCCTAAATAGTTAAAAATGAGTTTTTAATCCCAAAGGTTTACAGCTACAGATACTGGTGTGTATCAAATTAACCAAACTACTGCCAGGTGAGCTGTCAGTAGTTAAGACACACTTCCCAACACATTTCAGATTCAGAGAAAATATATGAGCCACAGCAACAAATGATGCATTTGGGGCAAAATTAAGAGAGTGAACAGTCTTTCGATTCAGTTGAGCTAAAAATACGCTGGAACTGGCTGAACCACGGTATCTTGATGTACTTTCAGTTACATGCTCAAGGCATTCCAGTATACTTAAATACAAGTTTAGGGATTTTATTTCAGAAACTGTGTAAACACGTATAAAACCTGGAAGGAGTACACTGAAAATGTCCTGTTTCCAAAGCCCAAACAGAGAACTTCAGTTTAAGTTAGAATATTCTTGATCACTCTTCTTTCAAGGTCTATGCAAGAATTTTACTGTGTTTTGAGCATGTGTTCAGAAAACAGCATATATCTAACCATACCTGGTTTTGATTTTGGCATGGGTCTTTTAAAGAGATTGACTGTCCCAAGGTCACCAATGTCTGGAGCTTGTTTCTGAATTGAAACCTACATGGGAGAAAAAAAAAAAGTTTATGATTTTTGTTTTTTGTTGCAAATGTACGTAACACGTAACATATAACCCATGCTAAATTATTAAAAATACTGACAAACCTTTATATAAGCTGATCCCTCTAAGTCGCTTGGAATTTGAACATCCAAAGGACAGTAATCCTCAGGTATCTTTTTATCCAGGTCAATATCAGTGTTCTTGATCACCTCAAATGTGCCATGATGAAGAAAAAGGGAACCTAAACAAGAAAGAACAAAGATGCACATGTTAGAAACACAGAATCATCCAGGTTGGAAAAGGCCTTCAGGATCACCAAGTTGAACCATCAACCTGACCTTCTGAGTGCCACCGCTAAACCATGTCCCTTAGTGCCACGTCCATACGTGTTTTAAATACCTCCAGGGACAGGAACTCCACTTCCCTGGGCAGCCTGTTCCAATGTGAAGGGACCGACATTTCTCCTCACTGCAACCTCCTTCCAGATTGTTGTAGAGAGCAACGAGGTCTCCCCTGAGCCTCCTCTTCCCCAGACCAAACACCCCCAGTTCCCTCAGCCGCCCCTCAGAACCCTTGTTTTCTTGGCCCTTCACCAGCTTTGTTGCTTTTCTCTGCACACACAGGAGCAATTCAACATCCTTCTTGTAATGAGGGACCCAAAACTAAACACAGTACTGGAGGTGTGGCCTCACCAGTGCCATGTACAGGGGGACGATCACCTCCCTGTCCTGGTGGCCACACTAGTTGTGATACAAGCCAGGATGCCGTTGACTTTCTTGCACACCTGACAAAACACTGGATCATGTTCAGCTGGCTGTTGACCAGCACTGCCAAGCTCTTTTCTACCAGGCAGCTTTCCAGCTTCTCTTCCCCAAGCCCATGCAGCTGCACGGGGTGGTTGTGCCCCAGGAGCAGCACCCGGCACTTCCCCTTGTTGGATGTCACACAGCTGGCTGCCTGTGATCCCTCGGTTGTCCCTTATGTCCTGCAAAATGACATTCCAGATAAGATCGCAGTGATATGATCTTGAATTTCGTTTGAATGTGATCTTGATGTGATTCAGATTCACTGTGACGTGAATCATCACAGATGATTCAGCCCCACAGCCCTCCCTGTGTCCAAGGTCAGACCGAGAGGCCTGTCATTCCCTGGATGTTCCTTCCTGCTCTTCTTATAGATTAAAGTCATTTTTGCTGAACTCCAGTCCATCTGGGGCCCCCCTGGTTAGCCAGGACTGCTGGAAAGTTATTGAAAGCTGCTTGGTGAACACTTCTGCCAGCTCCTCCTTGGATGAATCCCAGTTGGACCATCAACCTGTGAACAATCACAACACGGAGGAGGTCCCTTGCAGTTTCCCAGTGGGTTACAGAGGCTTCCCCTCGCTCCCTGTCACCATCTCCCAGCTCAGGCAGCCGGGTACCCTGACAACAATTGGCCAACAAAGACAGAGGCAGAAAAGGCTTTAAGCCTCTCAGCCTTACCCTTTCACCACTGTATTTCCTCTCATATGCAATAAAGGATGGAGATGCTCCTTAATCCTCCTTTTGCTGTTGATGTGCTTATAAATGAGTATTTTTAATTGTCTTTCGAGTTCCAGTTGGGCTTTGGCCTTCCTGTTTTTCTCCCTGCACAACCTAACAACAGCTCTAGGGCTAACCACCTTCCTTCCTTCACCAAGAATCAAAAACTCTTTGTTTTGCAATTGCTGTGATCTCCACCAAGAATCAAAACCTCACCATTTTGTGATCGCTGTGCCCAAGACAGCCTCCAGCCATCACATCACCCTCAAGTCCTTCCCAGTTTGCAAACAGCAGGTCAAGTGGGGTACCTTCCCTAGCCAGCTCCCTCACCTTTTGCATCAAGAAGTTATCCTCCACACACTCCAGGAATTTCCTAGACTGTTTCTTTCCTGCCGTACTGTATTTGCAGCAAACTCCTGGGAAGTTGAAGTCTCCCGCAAGGGCTAGTGATTGTGAGACCTCTCCTAGTTGCTTGTAGAGTATTTTCTCTACCCCTTCATCCTGGTTGGGTGGTCTACAACAGACTCCCACCATGATATCTGCCTTACTGGCCTTTCCCTTCACCCTGACAGATCTCCATTGCCCAGCTCCACGCAGTCTAGGCACTCCCTAATGTGTAGGGCTAACCCATTTCTTCTTCCCTGCCTCCCTCTCCTGCAGAGCCTGTAACCATCTCTCACTGCCCACAAGTTGTCCCACCATGTCTCTCTGAGGCCAACAGTGTCGCAACCCTGAGACTATACAGCATCTCCTGCAAACAAGGAAGCCCAAACCCCTGTTTCACAATACATCTAAGACTCCATAGTTTACGCTCAACTCCAATTTCTTAATGAAATCTTTACAAATATAGCTAATTTAGAAAGTTCATTTCAGCACAGCAGCATCTCAGTCCTCAAGTGTGTGATATGTAATATTCTACAGTAAGTTAGCAAGTAAAGGTGCAACATCTGCTACAAAGCAATGTTGCTTATGTTTGTCCTGAAGTTTATCAGCTATGACAGGGTTCGGTCCATAAAAAAGCAATCATACAGCCAGCCATTCGGGTGAGACCGACAGAGGCAGATGCCCACATCTGCAACCCTGTCACATCCTGGGCACGTTTCATCTTCTTTAGGATAAATCATCAAGAAGGGTCACACATACAGCTTCTTCCTTAACACAAGATGATCAGCCCGAAGTTTCTCTTTCCTCTCCTTCACTGACTACACATCAGGTGCCCAATATAACCAGCTTAGAGGCCTGCTTTGTATTTACAAATTTTATTTATTCTGCATTCACTCCTTCATTCCATATTTGGCTCTAGACTCTGGGTTCATTAACCCCTCTTAAAGTCATGTAACAATGCATATTCTCAGCTTCAGTTCTCAGAAGTTACAACAAAAATAATGATTCAGTGTTCAGAGAAAAATACAAGATACTCCTCAATGTTTTAAAATGCATTGCAGACAAAACATAGACAAAAGCACCTTTTTTTTTGTAGGAGTTACAGCACCTACCTGTCAACTGATCAACCCTACTGCCGATACAGCATTGTTCTGTATAGCAATCTTTACTAAAAGTCTGTACAGCCAGCCTTTAAGGTCACTTACCTGTTTTCCCTGATAATATCCTGATATCTTCCTTAATAATAAATCAAGTTTCCTCCTTTTGAAATTTTGTCACATCTGTTATTAAATGTTATTCATTATTAAAGATATCCCCTGTGCTTTTCCAGTTTAAAAATGCTTTGTGAAGTATAAGTTTCCATTCTTGGTAATAATAAAATAGAAAAGTCTACCATATACCTGCACTTCTGTAGCTCAGATCCCCAAGAATTTTGTCGCCCACTTTTCTCAGCTTCCAGTGCTGTCTCAGTCTCAACAGTTCGGAGTTGAAGTCTCTCTGTCGCTTATTTTCCTGGTTTTCTGCCACTGATTTGGACAATCTTTCCGCTCCTTTCAGCAGGATTTGAGCTGCTCCAGCTAATGACTTCTTTTTGGAAATCAACTGCAGGAACTGAGGATTCTAGAAGGGAAAAAAAAAAAGAGTTGAGTTTTAAGTCACGTGATATTGTTATTAGTAATCGTAAAAGCAATTGACAGCAACTGACAGCGGGTTTTGCTGTATGTTGAGTAGCTGATTTAGAATCGTTTTCACATCGGTATTAAACGTACACAAGAAGCACTGGGACTTACAGCCCTGACAAAGAGGCCTTTGAGCTCAGCCTCGCCTCCTGTTCCTAGCCTTCCCACTCACTCAAAGAGCACTGAACCAGATGATGTGGAATGCTCTGGGACATTTTGCGATCTAGAATGCTCTAGCACATTTTGATCTAGTACAATTTGAACACTTTGAGGCAAAAAGCCTCAATGAAACCAAATCTTCGGTGTGGCCTCACACGAGCTACGACAGGAGCTGTGCTGTACCTGTTTGGGAGGAGGGGGATCCTGCACGACTGGGTCTAGGGTCATGAACTTCTTGTCCTTGACGATGCTGAGCACGTCGTACAGCACACACATTTCTGTCAGGGCGCTCCTCAGGTTGTTCCTCACCGAGTCCCACGGCCAGAGGGACGGCTGGAACTTCACCAACCCTAAAAACGAGAGCCAGGCTCCTAAGACACAAAGGCGCGAGCCTCCCCGTCAAGCACATTTCACGAATTACACCAAAACAAGGCGGGACCCGCGTCTTTTTCGGATCTCCCCACCTCACTGTGGCGGCGGCCCCCCGGCCCGGCCGCCCCTCACCTTCCTCATCCTCCGCCTCGCCCGGCTCGGCCCAGGCGCGGCCCGCGGAGCCCGGCTCGTCCTCCTCGGAGCCGGAGCCCTGGCTGAAGTCGATGCGCTGCGCCAGGCGGGCCAGGTTCTGCGACATGGAGAGGGGCTGCAGGTAGGTCTCGCTGCCATCCAGCCCCACCTCCTGCACCTGCTTCTCGCACGCCGACTCGATGCTGATGCGCACGGCCGGCACGCCCGCCATCTTGGAGATCCCCCCCCCCGCTGCTCCTCCCGCTCCGCCGCCGCCGGGCGGAGCCGAAAACGCGCTCGGGAAGGGCGGGGAGGAGCGGGAGGGACGGCCCTTGGTGAGGGGAGGGAGGCGCTGGTGTCCCTCGGAAAGGCGGTGGGGTTGGGAAAGGCTTCCAAAATCGTCTGGTCCAATCGTCCTCCTCTGAACCGTGTCCCCAAGCACCACGTCCAACCTCTCCTTCAACACCCCCAGGGACGGTGACGCCACCACCTCCCTGGGCAACCCGTCCCAGTGTCTGACTGCTCTTCTGAGCAGAAATGTCTCCTCATTTCCGACCTGAACCTCCCCTGGCACAACTTGAGGCCATTCCCTCTGGTCCTAGCACTGGTTACCTGTGAGAAGAGGCCAACCCCCAGCTCCCCACACCTCCTTTCAGGTACCTGTAGAGAGCAATGAGGTCTGCCCTGAGCCTCCTCTTCTCCAGACCAAACCCCCCCAGTTCCCTCAGCTCCTCACAGGACTTGTGCTCCAGGCCCTTCACCAGCTTCGTAGCCCTGCTCTGGATACACTCCAGGGCCTCGACGTCCTTGTACTGAGGGGCCCAAAGCTGAGCACAGTGAACACAGCCCTCAAGATGCAGCCTCACCAGAGCAGAGTACAGGGGAACGATCACCTCCCTGGTCCTGCTGGCTACACTGTTCCTGATAAAAATCAGGATGCCATCAGCCTTCTTGGCCACCTGGGCACACTGCCAGCTCATGTTCAGGCGAGCATCAATCAGCATCTCCACATCCTTTTCCTCTGCACAGAGCTTTCAAGTGACTCTGCCCCAAACCTGTAGCGCTGCATGGGGTTGTTGTGCATTAAGTGCAGGACCAGCACTTAGCCATGATGAACCTCAACCCAGTGGCCTCTGCCCATTGACCCAACATGCCCAGGTCCCTCCAGCAGATCAACACTTCCCCCCAGCTTGGTGTTGTCTACAACAAAATATCATCGATCATCAGCAAGAACCATGCAGGAAGAGGAACCAAACAGCAAAAAATATGTTATTAATAATACTCCAGGGAAATTACAGCTTGAATTCCACCATAACCACTTCAATTACAAATAAACTCTGATTTTCTCCCCTTAACAAATCTAAAAGGGTGGCAGTTTATTGCTGTTGTATTTGTTCTTGACTTTGATAAATATGTGTGTAATTAAAAGCATTACAAAAATCAGCATTTTTACTTAACAAAATTAAATTGCTACGCCTTCATTAAAGCCAGGACAGGCCAGCTTAGTCTCTGCCAACCATGTGCGTCTCCTTGGGCCTGTCGATACGGAAGAGAAACTCTGCAGGCAAGAAGTACCCGCAGTACTGCACGCTGTCTGGCGTGGTGTCGTTGTGGTAGTGCCCTCCTTCCCCGTGGGCGCTGAAGCAGTGCGTGTGCTCTGTGCGTAGGTCGAAACCCTGCGAGTAAAGAAAGGCCTGTGAGCACGCTTTCCTGGAATCGGTATTTTAAAGTACTTGGATAATCTCGCTTCTGTATTTCCACAGATCTCAAAAGGAGGCTACAGCCATGAAGCAATGAAAACTTGCAAGGTGCTTGTGAAACTAATAGTAAGAAAAACAAAGAGGAGCTTAGTTTTTTAAAGAATTTAGAAACCCTGAGAGCCCCCAGATTTTGCTGTTAATATCCCAGAGATTTCCTTTTATTTTTTTATTTTTTTTTTCTAATTTGGGATTAAATCAGACTTATCAAGGAAGCCCTACTGGAAATCAGAACCACTCCGCACTGAATGCCATAGAAACATGCAATAAAGGGACAATCTCTTCTCCAATTCTGAGGGCCAGCTTGGATGAAAACAGGAAGAACAGCAAATAAAATAACCAGCATCCTCGCCAGTGACATCACCCCTATCAGTTTTATATATCCAGAGGACACTGGTGAGTAATGCTATGGCATTAGAATGCAAGAAACAGAACAGTTCATTAACACAGGATTAAAGCTGTCTTCCTCTGTTATCTCGGTGATGGCATTCACGCATTTCCAAAAACACTGCCCCAGCTGAGTGCTGTTATGCTTCCAATGGATACTGATAAGAATGCTCCAGCTGCATCCACTACACAAGTTGTACTGATTCAGAACAGCGCAGCTGTTGGCAGCTGTTTTCCAAGTACTTAGCATTAGATTCTGGGAAGATGCACACAATTTAGTCTTAAGCCAAAAGCTGCTAAATAAAGACACAATGAAGTCACACCACTGAGTGTATTCAAGCCTACAGCTTGTCTCCTTTCACTCTGGAAATTTTTACTTACATTATTTATTAGTGCATTGTTATTTTAAAAAATCAATTTCACCTATGGCTTCCTAGTTACTTCTGAACACAGTCTTCTTAACATCTTAATGGCTTTTGAAGCCTGGTTACTTTTTATCCTGAATTCTTTGTTGCTGATTTTAGTGCTTGTGCAAGGTGTCCTTCTAACTTGAGGAACTGCAGGCTTTAATTTGCATCAGCAATTGAGACACGTTGTACACATTTTGACACAGCATTGGCAAGAGACTTCTATAAGTGAGCTACAAGAACACATGGCTGATCAAGCTTCCGTGCTCTCGACATTCCTCCTGTTGTGTCTAGCTGTAAGTGCAAACCCTGCTGTTAGGTTTGGGATGCAAACACTTGCACACTTGCAATTGGAACAGAAGCATTAACCTCAATCCTCTATGAACGCCCACTACATTCCCAAATTGATTGACTGCGTCTAAAATTCAAACCAATGACAGAAATGAGAAGCTTGTATTTCATCACATACCCCCTGAAAGCATTTCACACAATACATACACACTCCTGTTCTTAAAGTGAAAATCATATCCAGGACAATATCCATCACAAGCCTTAGTTTACACTTAGAAATGAGGAAGAGACTCACTGGATCCCTGGAAACGATTACTGGCTGACAAACCAGCGGAGCCTTCATTTCAAAGAATTTGAGCCAGTTATTCACATCCTCATCAGTGTTCAGAGGACAGGCAGAAAATTCTGGAGGCTACAGCAAAAACAAAAACTTTAAGTGAGATGAAGTTACTTACACCAAGACACTTTTTCCTCTAGAAACTTTCCTTCACCTTTCCCCACCCCACTGTTCTGTTCAAGTTACTTCTTGCCTTGCAGAAGCTCACCCATTACTGCATTTCTGCCAGAAACAGAAGTGATCAGAATATTACTTCTTTCATTGTAGACGCTTAGCGGGAAAGCTGCTAAAGTGAGGATTCTCCTCCTAGGATATTTTAGAAGCTCAACTAGTTTTTGTTTTGTTTTGTTTTCCAATGTTTATTGCTTTCTGTAAGTATCATCTTAGTGCCTGTATGTCATTTTATTTCACTTCACAACAGTTCTACAGTTCCTTCTCTAGTTGCCCGTGGATTTCAAAAGAAAAGATCACACTATTAAGGCCAAGCAATACAACATCATTAGTTATGGGATGTCAGTTTTGTAATATCAGCTTCTTAGTTTAATACACTGCTTATCCTAACAGTTTACACATAAATTTAGTAATACAAAGGAAAAGTCAGGGCAATGAGAGGTTACGCCTTGATTTATACTTCTGTTTTCAGAAGAATGAAGAAAGTGATATGAATTGACAGCAACTTACCATAATATGAATCTTTGCTTTCCCCTTCTGAATGACAAATGTACCACCCATCCCAACTGGCTTTTCTCCATAATGCTTCTCTAAAATTTGTCTCAGACAAGAGACGAAATTAAGTTCCCCAGTTCTTCCATTGGCTTTCACTTCTATGACCTGGAGAATAAAGTTATTTCATCACTGCTGTCTTCCAGCAACAGCCTGCAACGGTCTGTGAAAGCTGCTCTGAAACTCTCCCACACTCATAACCCCAGATTTCTGTGTCACAGCATGACTTTCCCCCCAGCTGTTGCTCCATGTCCTTTCAGTACCTGCTTAACTTTGGTCAACACTAGCTTTGCCTGTAAAGGTACTGGGCCACAAGTCATTTACTCACACATGAAACAATGGAATAAGCAACCCCCTTCTATCCACCAGCTGGCTTCACCTCTTAGAAACCCTTGGAAATTGGAGAGACTGCTCAGTTTCCATGCAGTAAACAGCTTTTTTGGCTGCTCTGCCAACACTGCTTTGTGCTAGCTGTGCTGGGGGCAATACACCTACAAAAAATAAGTGCACAGAAATGATTTACGCAAGTCAGTCATTGTACAGGAATAACCTTAAGTCACTGCATGTTTGGACTGGATCTGAATGGATGATTTGTAAGGGAAAAGTTTTACTAAACTAATACTTATTCCTCAAAAATTCAAACACTTCTCTGTCTCCACCATTTTTTCTCCTTGTTCACCAACAGCTGTTTCTTCTGTTTGGATATTTCTTTCATAGAATTGCTTCTTTACTGTTACAGAAAACTGATTTAAGAATGTTGAAACGTGGATTTCCCTTCAGCCACAAAGCTCTGCAAGCAAAGTCACCTTTGCTCCAGGTACGCACCTTACCAGGTTGGCCCTCGCTGGCATAGAGGTTGGCCAACAGCCCAAACTCACAGTCGGTGTATTTACTGCTGTACTTCTCGAGCAGGCACCCTTTATCTGCAGGATTTATCTGAGCGATGTAGCTCCCATTTACAGCAGGCTTTTTATCGCTTTGAGTTTGAACAACAGGGATAAACTGAGAGAAAGAACATGCAATAAGTCAAAATAAGTTAATAAGAACATGTAAGAGTCAGTCAAATGTAAATTTAAGCGTTGGACCATGATCTCAAGAAATAATCCCCTTCATCACATGCCCTTCATTTCTCAGGATGAGGAAAATGTGGTAATATTGTAACGCAATAGAACCCCCAGAAATCGGTTTTACTTCTCTGAAGAGTTAAATGGAATGTTCTGTGAAGATGAATATTAGTGTTAAAAAAGACCAGCCTTTGAGGTCTGAGCCCTGCCATGCACGTATTGGAATTCTACATAATACTTTCTCAAGTTGTACCTTAACAAGCACTATTAGAGTGTCCCAAATTTAATGCTGAGATGAACTATCT